CCGCGCACAGCACGTGAGATCCTCACGTACCGGCTAGCCTAGTCTATATAAAACTACCCGAAGTGCTGGCTCCTACATAGACCCAACATAGAAAATAAAGTCCAGCATCTCATTATCCTGTGCTCAAAGATTTAATTTAACATGAATATCAGCCTCCCGTTGTCTCTCATGATTTGCAGATGTAATTCCATGGAGAGTACAAAGCAAAGAAATAAAACTAGTAAAGAGGAAAATTGGTTGTGTCGCTTTAATGCTCTCTCTCGCATTTATAACATTACTTCATTCTCTTCAGACTTGTTGCTGTGCTTTTCCAAAAAGGTTTGTGTCAAGCACCCAGCTACTGAATGCAAGAACTTCCTGTGCTGTAGCAAGAGCCCAAGATATGCTGGGATTGAAGATCTACGCCCTGTAGAGCTCTGCCTGGTACTGCCCGAGGCTGCAATAGAAAAAGTGGTCGGGGGACTATTATTTTCCGCATGAGCAGGTAAGAGTGGCGTTTTTGTGACGGAAACCGAGTTGGTAATGAATAAATCGATTTATTAAACTATATGAAGAGGAAAGAAATCTCTAGCTACTACTAACAGGTACTTAAAACGTTTGGTCCGCTTCGTGAATCTGCTGACTGATAATTTCCCCCTAGGCCTAATACTTGCTACTGAGCCAAGTATTATCAGGAGCCATTACGCTATGATGTTGCTTCGACCTCCTGGCTAGTAGTGCTATTTCATCTCTATTTGCCCATCCTTCCTCTTTCAGTCTTATCATAATTATTCCTAATTAAACGCTTAGGTTTCCTCCTAAGCTAAAACAACGGTCAAACTGTATCAGTTTTCGTGTTGAAAGCGTCGGTGGTAGTCTGCAAAATCTCCAGTCCAGAACGTGCAGCTATTAGATATCCTAGTGTGCGTCGCCATAGACGAGCGAGCTTAATGATAATCTTAGTATCAGGACTAATACCTAGTTCTTTGTATCTAGACTGTTACGGCGTGCGCTAAGGATGCTGGGGATCGCCGTCTGCCGAAGGTAAGGTATTAATAACTGTTCAGATTACAGTTGCTAACGAAGGATACTTAGATATGATACGATTGGCGAGGTGCCAGGTAGTCTAAGGTTGTGGAACCACAGAATAGTCGAAAGACATGAAGTCAAGAAGTCGAGTTGCCGAGCAGGCGATCAAGAATGATAACTCAGGGTGAACAGACGTACGAAGAATGTAACAAATAACGAAAGACTGAGAATATCGGACTGTGAGAATATACGATTATAACATTATGTAAATCTAGATTGCAAGATCAAAGATCAAAAGAATGAAAGATTGAGAAGCTGGAGAGCTACTATGTGGCAGCTCCAGCTTCCTTAAGTCTAACTCGAGATAGTACTTGAACTCAACTAAGACTATGACAAATGACAAATGCCGTCATGACGCCAGCCCCTCCATCTCTAACTGTCAGAGTTTTCTCGGAAACCTTCTCAGTAAACCTTTTCCCAAAACCTTTCTTAAAAACCTTCTCATATCACCTTTTCCTAAGAACCTTCTCCTTGAAACCTCTTCAAGGATGCCTGGCCATAACATAGACGGTGCATTTTCTGCCCAATATAGTGCGACTGAAGCCTCGTATTGGGCTTCGACTACTCTCCTTGCCCTCGCAATGGAGAGTGCTGCGTATGGAGCTGGAGCCACACAGGCGGCATTGGCAAGCGCGTCGGCTGCTTTGTTCCCGAGAATACCTGCGTGGCCTGGGCACCATCAGATAGCCACTTTCCCAGGTGTCATATTTTGACCACGTGATCTTCGTTTCCAGTTCATTGCGAGTGTAACGGCTTGTGAGCCGATTGTTGTGTGGCACGTGATTGTATTCACGTACTTCTATAATTCTATAGTGGTCTAGCTTTATTCCAGATCAGCTCAGCTACGACTGGAATATTCTAGTAATTGGTAGCAAGACTGGGAACTACTATGACTGGAATATACGAGAAATAGATATTAACCAAGAACGAGTATTCTAGGGATCTTCATAAATGTATAAATAGTTGAAGTAATACTCTGATAGTTAGCCATAGAGAAAATTATAAACTACCTTCGTATATCTGATCGCTCCCGCATTGACACTCGAACCGTGACAGTGAGCTTGCGAAAGATTTATATTTTCGCCGAGCTATACGCTGTGGGCGTATCCAAAAGCAAATGGATGGTAGCCTCCTGGTTGACAAGGCAGACAGTGACGTTAGAGGCATAATAGGCCAGTAGGTTGCGAATAGCTGCGGCAAGACCTTTAGTGGCCCCGGCCATTTCTGCATCATACACTTCTGCCGAGCTTCCGAGCGGGAGTGATGCTCGCCCAATCTCCTGCGTAAGACCTCGGTAGATGACATAATCCGCGCCTGCTCGGTCTGCTATGAGAGCTTCATCTGAAAATACAAATAAGTCTAGATTGGGTCAAGCAGCCTGCCACTGTTTGAATGGATTTGGTCCCAGGAGTCTACCTATTGCTCCAATTTCGATGAGATTTTCTTCACGGAATGACGACGACGGTGGAGGGACGATGTCTTCGGAAAGTTCTGGCGAGATTCTTCGGCGGATCCAACGCATACGACAAGTGTTCCATCGCCTACAAAGAGGGTGAAACAGGTCAGCTGCAGCGACTCGAACCGCTAGACGACTAGAAATTTTGGAGAGCCACGTCTGGGCTGGGCCCCATCCACCTTCTCATAGAAGTGCTACTATTGGTGTTGTACGATAGACTGGAAAGGCTGCCCGGACTGCGTCGTTCATCGTGTGTTGGAGTCGCGAGATTGTCTTTTGAGATGTCTCTTTGGAGTACCAGGACTTGGCCACGTAGAAAAGGGTCGCAAATGTGGCACCATGTAGAGCCTGTCGTAGAAAAAAAGGGCTAATACCTCGGGTCGTGGTCGAAAGTCTTTCCAAATGGCTCGTGATATCTTGAGACTTTCGGCAAGCCTGTAGGGTATGAAATTGGAATCGAAGTGCACGGTCAAATAATAGTCCTAGCCAGCGTGTATAATCATTAGGCGTTATGATTGTCCCTCCCATATTTAGAGCAGGCTCTATTGCTGATTCTCGCTTCCGGCGAAAGTATTGCAGCTCAATCTTAGGAAGTTCGAAACTAAATCCGTTAGCAAGTCCCCATGCTATGTGCTGTCTAACTTCTCCTAGAGTTTGCGTGCACATTCGACAAGGGAGAGCGCAGACGCAAAGGGGGCAATGTCATCCGCATGTCCAAAGCGACGAGTAGAGAGACGCAGTTTCACTTCCATAACCAGAAGAAATAGAATTGGCGATACTGGTGAACCATGTGGGAGACCACAGTGAGTTTAAAAGGGCGGGGAGGTAGTATCTTCAATAGAGATGATGGATTCTCGCTGCTCCATGAATGATGCTACCCAGCGAACCACGCTCAATGGTCATCCTTGGCTTCGAAGCTTATAGCAGAGTCGCCCCTTTTGTATACCATTGAATGCACCCTGGACGTCAACAGTGACTACACCAGCTACTTTCTTTCCCGCCCATTTTGCCTAAATATCACAAGCGAGAGCTGTGGTAAGGTCAGAAGCGGAGTGTCAGAGCATTATGTAGACAGCAGGGCGGAGCCACAGGTCAAAGAGATGGTATTCAGGCTAAAGGGTGACATCCTACATTATGCATGAGATATGTGCATAACCGCTCGGGCAAAAGGCCATACCAGAATCTAGTGTTCTATGAATCTGGTTATCTCCACATATATTAATTATACAGAAGGCAATCCTGACACGGAGCGAAGAGGGATGGAACTGCATTGGTCTTTGACGAGTACCGGATATTTCAGGGCTATGAATGAAATTCACCGTGCTATCAGTCTTTCAAAGCCTTTACTAAGGCACGAGAGTAGAGAAATCGGTCTGTAAGTCTTCGGGAGGGTGCGATCTCGTTTTCCTGATTTTGGAAGAATAATCACTGTTGACTTCTCAGAGGCTAGCGGATATATTCCTAGCTTTTCACACTGGCGGAAGGGAGCTGACACCCTATTACCAATAGTTGGCCATGCTCAAGAGAATTCGGGGTTATTTCGTCAGATTCTGGGGTTGTAGACGAAACCTGCGACGAACTGCAACCGACGAAATACGTACGATATACCGCCGACGCACTAACTAGAGCATTCAACAAAGGCTGAAGCACCGGTGCCTCGGTCTTGAGCTCTTAGTCGCGTCTTCGACCACCACGGGTAAGGGTACGGCAGCGACGGGGCAAGGCCGGAGGGGTGGACATTCTACGAAATTCTGGGATGACGAGACTGGCTAAAGGAGAAAGGGATGCCGTATGGGGGGAAAGGGAATATATACCGAGGAGGCCTTAGTGGGCGACTGGATGAGGGATGTAATGAAGAAAAAAATTCTTCGATGAGATGAATGATGACAGGCAACAATGGAAAGGACAAACTAGAGATTGTGAGAATGTCAAGGTCTCGGGCGCGTGGTAGACGTGTCTGAGAAGTTTCCGATTCGGCGCGTCAGAGTTGGGTTCTATGAATTGTGTTGGATTTGACATGTTCGACACATGAGTGAGACCTGACGTGTTATTGTCAATCAGATAAGCCGCGGTTTATTCTATTTATATCATAGTCAACTTGATCCAGCACGGCCATTCCTGTTCTCAAGCTCCCAAAGGACTGCAGAGGGTGGCAATTGCCTAGCATGTTAATAAACCAAAAATTATATCTTTATGCCCAGTACATCATAGTACGTGATAACAGAGGTTAATTTAAATACACTCAGATTTCCTTGGTGGTTAGAAAATTTGTTCTTGCACAATTGCAGTCCCATTCACTGAGGCAAAGTTCCATCATCATGTATTTGGGAAGAGGATAATTAAAAGATTTCAATATTCGTCGAGCATAACTCTCACTGTAAATCCTTGGCCCAGTATACTTTTCATCTTATTCTTTTCTAACTCTATGCTTCGATCCTAATACAATCATCTTTTTTTCTTTCCTGAACATCAGCTATCAAACATGATGGACAACGTCAGCAAATATATAAAATAAGAGAACTATAATTAAACTTGAATGGAAAACTTTCTCACCATCAAGTTTCTGGATAGTGTCATCGAAGGCACGAATTATAGGATCATACAGCACGTTAGGATCTTCCGGTGTCCCGTATCCCACCGATTTATCTTCAAAGAGTATTTGGCGAAGACTCCGTGCGAGCTTCTGAACACATTCAAACACGGGAGTGAAATAATTTAATATTCGTTTTTGAAAATTATTTCTGATACAATTTTCCTTCGCGCAAAGGCAATGACTGATATTGTTCAAAGACCATTTATTCAGATGTTCTGGGGCCGATTTACGACCATAGCTCATACTTCCAACTATGAGAACGTAGAAGAATGATTCAAGATCATGACGGTAAGTTTGCTTTAGGATGTTTTCGTTTTCTTCAATAGCTTCTAAAAGTTCTAGCGCCATGTACTTTCTAGTTCCGGTTAATCTTTCACGCTGTTTCTTACCTTTTTTCTCCTGACGATACAAAGCCTTATCTAGACCGATAAGTAACCCTTTACTTGCACCCGTTACATCCGCCTTAGTCAGAATGATGTTTCCGGCCGAGATATTACCGTGAATTATTCCCCTCTCGTGTAGATTGCGGTGTCCGATAATGGCATTTCGTATACCGTGTACAAATTCCCGTACCGTCGAAGAAGACTGAAGGGGTCGTCCTGCCGGTGAAAACTTAGCATAAGTAAGTTTACTTTGAATGTAAGATTTCCTGCCCTGAGATCCCGTCGAAACGCTATAGTAGAGAGTTCGATCACCAAAACAGATGTCCCATTTTTTGTCTTCCGTAAATTTCATTTCCATTCGGTGATCATTGATATCATAAAGATCAGAAGAGTAGTTCAATTTGATGACGCCTGTCACGTCTTTTACACTTTTGAAAATTTTGGTCTCGTATTCCACAGACTCAGTGCTCCAAGAGAACTTTAGCATATACATGCTATCTTTAGTCTCCAAGTACTTGATTCCTCGCGTAGCTATAGTTTCCGGCCGAACTATTGGTAAGGGTTTCACCTCAATTTTTTCCACTGATGTCTTGCCGTTTGGAACGGTGACGAAACATCGACCGTGACTATCGTAGCTAGTGATTGAGTCCAGTCCGAGATCTTGATCACTCATGAGCATGTATGACAACAATGCCCGGATCAGTTTTTCCTGGCTCTTCGACACGTCTATTTCACCAGAGCTATATGCACCTGCCCGGTCGACAATCCAGAGCTCCAAGTGATTGTTGTGCAAGCAGAACCCATGCGCAAATCGACGAAGCGGCTGCGAATAGAAGATTTCGCGCATGTTCCTCATTAACAGATGGATCTGATCAGCTAGCTGTTTGTTTGATGAGGTTTTTTCTCCTACGACTCTGATATCTCTCCATTTATTTTCGACACTGTCAGCGATATCAGAACTCTTCATAAAAATGTCCACTTGACAATTGTTCAAACCACCATTGTGTTCACTTGGCTTTGATATATAGCAAAATTTACCACGCACATGTGGTTTTCTCTGATCCCTCTGAGCAGCCGGCCCGTTTGTCCCTGATTTATTCGAACTTTTCATAAGCTGAATCAGGTAACGATCTCGAAATGCATGCATCCATCTTCGCACCGCTTTTTCGTCCATGTAGTCTGAGAAGACGTTACCAATTCCTCGTTGACAATCTTCGCTGTAGCTTTTCCAAATTTGTGTCGTTGTCTTCGACCATGATTTATTTTCGAAATTCAATTCCCAAAATTGATCGATATTTCTTTAAGTCTTGTCTCGAAGCTCGTGTTTAAGAGCCATTGTCACTAGAGTAGCGTTAGCATCATCACCTACTAGGTCCGAAGCGCTTAGGGAATAAGTGATCTTCGAACATTCTTTCCTAGCTACAGAAGTTAGAGGGATACTGTTGGTAGGTTGATATTCTTTGTCGATACGATCAGCGATCTGGATAGCGATGGACCAAATTTCATGATCTCCAGCATAACTGTTGATCAATGCTACTAGATCGCTAAATTCGGAGACGGGATTCTGATTTGTTGATAGTTTAGGGATTAATTTTGACAGTAATTCTTTGATAGCCATATTGTCTGGACTTTGATCCAAATGAATTGTATGCCTTAATAGATCCAAGAAAAGTATTAAAATTACTTCCTCGTTAGTCTTCGAGTCTTAATCCGTGATAAGATCTCACCATCTATTGGGTTACTGCTAGTGTCAAAGGTGCTTCGAAATCGATTAATTATAGTCTCGAGTGGGTTTCTGTTGGTTCATGCCAATAAATCTGCGGGTACATCCATCTTGAAGATTTGTAAAGGATTTGATTGAATTTGAGGAAAGTTAAGTTGTGTAAAAATGCTTGGACACTTAAACAAGCGGCAGGATTCAATTGTGTTGGGATATTGAGAAAGTATAGTCACGGGAGTAAGATAATGCAGATAGTAATATACGATATGTGAGGAATTGTATAGATGTAGGACTAAGGGTGTGTAGTGATAAAGGTGTTATGTACTAATGATGTGGACACCTTTCACTTGACCAACTAGCTGACTAAGCAGCATTTCCTGACACGCCCCCATGCTGCGATATCCTAGAGCCTCATTAACTTCCACAACACTTAAAAAGTGTGACCCCTACATCTCTTCTTAACGAGTTCAGTAGTCCTACAGAAAAATGAAACTGCATTGTGGTACAAGAGTACTCTTATCCTGGTCCCATCATGATCTGCTGTGTGAACTTCTGTAGTACTAATATCGCCCATACAATTCGTTCAGCGTTTAATGAGATAAGCCTAGCTCAGACGATAACTTTACAAACTGGTCCCTGGGTAACTGTTTTGTTAATATATCTGCAATCTGTTCAGTACCTGGTGTAAATGTGACCATTAGCCTGTTTTTCATCACCATGTCGTCTCGTATGTAGAAGTGCCTAATTTCAATGTGTTTAGCTCTTCGATGAAATTTGGTGGTTTTAGCAAGCTCTGTTGCAGCCTGATTGTCTAGATGTAGAAGCGGAGGTTTCGTTATTTTGACGTTTATGTCATGAGCAATTTTCTCCATCCAGGCGATTTCTTTAGCTCCTTCACTAGCAGACATGATCTCTGCTTCCATTGAGCTCTGAGCTGTGCTTTTCTGACGGTTAGCGGACCAAGTTACTGCGCCCCCATTCCATATGATTGTTTGCCCTTGGAATGATTTCTTATCATTTTCGGTACCCCATGTTGCATCTGTCCATGCTGCCCAGATATTTGTTGTAGCGGCAAATCTATATTTAATCCCGAGCGACCTTGTACCGTTGAGGTATCTGAGTAGATGCTTTGCCATACTTAAATGGTTTGAATCGGGATCAGACATAAATCGAGCAAGTTGTCCTACGGCATAAGATATGTCTGGCCTTGTACCATTAGAAATATATAGGACAGATCCAACAATTTGTCGATAGAGGCAGATGTCATCATCTTTGAGCGTTTGATGGATATCATCTTTGGTAGATGAGCTTAGGACTGTTCCTGCTGGGAGTGGGAGATCCTTAGGTATACTTTTCTCCATTCCCAGCCGCTGAATAAGTTTTGTTGTATAGGCAGTTTGATGAATGCGAAGTGTGCGCTTCTGCCTATTTCTTTCCACTTGAATTCCGACGAAAGTGTCAACTGGTCCTAGCGCTTTGCAACTCCATTTATTCATGATGTCTGATTTGACGGAATTTAAATTTCCATGTTTCCCAATGATTAGCATATCATCTACATAAAGAAGTACGAAGACACCTCTACCTATAAATAAATTTGGATCAGCATCTCCACTCTTTAAAGATATTCGATTAAAGTGATCTTTGACTTCTTTGAACCAAATATGCGGGGCTTGCTTTAAACCGTATAGTGATTTGTTAAGTTTGAGGTAATTTTCCTTTCGATTGATTCCAGGGTGTTGTAACGAAAAGAAATCAGGTATCTCCATATAAATCTCTTCTTCTAATTTTGGATTTAGAAAAGCTGTATCCACATCAAGCGCTTCAATTTCAAGATCGTCTACTGCAGCCTTTGATAGAAGTATCCGGAGTGTGTTGTACCGTATTACCGACGCAAAAGTCTCGAAGTAATCGATACCGTACTGCTGTTCAAATCCACGGACAACGATTCGTGCTTTTCGTCTGTCTAAGCTACCGTCACTTCTGAACTTCTTTCTAAGAACTATTTTGCTGGATATTATTTTCTTTCCAGGAGGTGGAGACCCAGTCAAAATCGTATATGTGTTGGTGGCTTGCAGAGAGCGCAATTCTGATTTTATTGCCTCTTTCCATAATTTGGGATCTTCATGCATGACCTGTTCAACAGTGATAGATTCAAATGGAGGAGTGGGCACTTGAATCGATGACGACTCACCGGCATTAATATGGACTGCTTGTGCAGAAATAGCATTTGCTGTAACGACATGATTGAACACAGCTTTCGCCACTCTTCTCAGCGGTCTGCCAAATTTTGATTTTGGCGGGGAGCAAGGAGTCTGCCCAATCGATGGTTCGATGGCTTCTCGGATAATCTGAGGAGTACTTTCTTTGAAGTTCATTCGCCCTCCTAGATATTCTTGCTCTACTACCCTCATGGTGGCCTCTTCCACTACTGCAGTAGGATGACTAGCCTCGACCATGGGTTCGCGTGAGAGCTTCCTCCACGCGTTCTCGTGGCAGCTTCCTTCACGTCTTATTACGGGAGTCTGTAGCTCTACCGAACCTATGTAGGTCTCTTGCTCGTCCATTCTAATGGGAGCCTTCTGTATATAGCGTTGATCAGACGCATCTCCAGCCTCTCGCGGGCGAGTTACAGGATTTTGCAATTCAGAGTCATTTTCGCCCGAACTCATTGCCTCAATTGGGCGAATTGCAGCGTACTTCTTACGCGCTTGCTTAACACCTTTCTGCCTAGCTTCTATCAGCTGCGGCTGGTACATCTTTGTTCGCTCTAAAGGTACTTGTCTAGGTGTTAGCACATCTGGTCTATCAGGTAGAGTAAAGAGTGAGATGTCAATTTTAGGGAATTCATATTCATTGAACTCAACATCTGCAGAGATTGTGTCTCTTAGGGTAAGCGTATCAAGTAGCTTCCAAATTTTCGTCGAAGTCATTCCTATCATGATGAATTTTCCTTCTCTAATGTGAGGTTGCCATTTCTGAGGAATTAACTCGGAAGGGTAAAGCACATCTGCTTTGCACCCGAAAACTCTGATGTTGGTTAGATCTGCAGGCTTTCCATGGTATGCGCTGTAGGGAGTGAATTTTTCTGGGGCGTCATTATCAGCAAAAGGTAGCGCGGATGTGGGAGCCCTGTTCTTGATCCAAGCCGCATGCTCGACAGCGTAATCCCAGAGCTGGTGAGGTAGCTGTGCCTCATATAACATAGACCTTGCTATAACTGCTATAATACCCATCCATCTTTCAACAACTCCGTTCATTGAGTGTTTGTATGGTGGGCTTAGTTCAAATTTTATACCTACTTCTTTCAAGTAGTGTTGAAGGGCAGTACCAAATTCACTCCTGCCGTTGTCAGCCCTCATGTAGACAATTTTATTGCCAGATTGCAATTCAGCTTCGGCCTTTATTTGCTTGAATGTGACTAGAACCTCATTCATTTCTTTCGTTCTTAGTAACCTGACCCAGCACATCCTTGTTGCATCATCTACCATGAGGAAGTAGAACCGATATCCTCTAACTGAGATGGACTGGATTCCTGAGATATCGCAGTGAACTGGACGAAGGATGGTGCTTGAACGATTGTCAGATTTCTTATTAAAATTTTCCTTCATCTTTCCTACTAAACATGCTTCGCAAGATTTTGATCCAATCGGAATTGATCTTTTCTTGTTAGGAACTTTCAGTCCAGTGTGTCCTGTTTTTAGAACCTTGTCAATATCTTTGATGTTAATATGGCCCATTCTTCTATGCAAAATGTCCAATTCAGTCTCTGTTTGGTGTGGCATTTGTTGCTGAACTTCTGTGGCTGATGTTGCTTGAGGTATTGATTTTGTTTTAACTTTGAAGACACCATCCTCTCCTTCTGCTTCAAACAAGATTGAGCCGTTTCGTGTTATTTGACAATGGCCATCAGCAAACTTTACATTAATGCCCCTCTTATTGAAGGCCCAGACGGACAGAAGCCGCATTTGACCAAACTCAGGAATAAACCAGACTTCTCTTAATTCAATTATTTAATCACTAGTCCTAAAAGATATATTGCCATAGCCTTCGCATTGAATAACTTTTCCATCTGCAATTTGGACAGACTTTGGACTGCTCCATCTTTTGAGCGTAGAGAAATCATCTCTCATACCACTGAAATGTTCTGACGCTCCGGAGTCGATTATTGTGAGAATTTCTCTGGGCTTGGTGAGTAATGCATGTTTTGTGACAGTTGGGAGAGCTGTTGCATTAGAATCCGGAAGCCGTATAAATTTAAGGAGATTATGAATTCCGCTGGTGATCAAGCCCTGTATATTTTTGGAATTTGTTTTATATTGTTGGATTCTACTTTTACTTGATTTTATTTTGAGTAGGGCCAGAATTTTATCCATATTTAGCTCTGAGCAAGCTGTGTGACTGTGTTCAAGATAATAAGACAGGTAGGGTGAAACATTTGCATTAATATTTCTAAC